TTTCATCCAATTTCTATGAGCCATTGCTTAGTTATGATATCAATACCACCACGATCAACTTGCATGATGTTCCATACTCACCAACGATATTCAAATATATGGCCAAACGGATTTCCCGATTCGAGCAATTGAATGGGCTCATTTTCTATCCGAATCAACCTATATGAAATGGTATGACATTCCATATGAAATAGGTTGATTAAGATGGGAAATGAGCTCTTATACTTTTTTCTTTTTTTACTATAAGTAATTTATTGGCAAAAAGTAATTAGAAGTTGTAAAACTAAAATTCAACAATATTGTGATCAGAACACATAAGTGAAGAATGTTATTGGGAATTTTCCTGTTATCAACATTATTTTATGCAGCCCCAATGAGCCAAACACGTGCAATTATTGTGCATAGTAGATTTATTCCCAAATCGTACACAATTCTTACACATATAGTGCCCAGAAACAAAATTTTATCTAAATAGGTCCAAAAATTGCACAATTTTTGCACTTTTAGTGCTACATTTAACATTACATTAAAATATGCACAAAATTCAAACATTTAGCATTACATGTGTTCATTGGGGATGGAGTGTTCGGGAGAGAGAGAGAGAGATCAAATATAAAAAATACAGTGGTTGGTAAAGTGATTCGTAACCTATTTCATTCAACTTTATCATCAAATTTACGGACTTTTGAACTGGGTGAAAACTTTATTTCTATTCATTTTGCTTTTGAAACGCAAGTGCCTAATCATCAAGAGAAATATAATTATTCCATCAGTTTGAAAAACTCAAAAGCTACTTTTGAATATATGTAACATAGGGAAAGTGCCACAATACATTTCAAATGTAAGACATTTGACACATAGCAGTCAATGCCATCTCTCCTCAGGTTTGGCAAGGCAAGGCCCACCAGACTCTCTCTAGAGTGTCTAATGATACCCTGCAACAGTGTGAACACTCTCCCATTCAGGTTTAAGACCCACCGTCATAGACGAACAACAACTAAACAGATCCGAGAGAGCATCAAGGTAACAGGGTATCATTAGACACTCTAGAGAGAGTCTGGTGGGCCTTGCCTTGCCAAACCTGAGGCTTTACAGCACTAGCGTTGAAGAGAATCGGTATCATTGCTTACATTTCTCCTAATATCGGTTGTTCATGTCAAGTGGGTGAGCTTGATTGGGTCAATATACTTCCCATATATTTGGCTACTCAGTAAGAGACCATTTCATTAAAATAAACCGATGTTCTTATTCTCTTACGGCTGGATCTGAACTAATGAGTGAAAGGCTTTTGTTGATTGAACTAGTATAATGTTTGCATGTGATTATGCTGGTTGCTCACGAAAGTCGAAGACTAAACGTAAAACTCCAATTTGGTTGTTTATGTCTATACTACACTCGAAGTTTGGATTTAGCTGTTTATTCTCCTTCGGTTGAACTTGTTATTGGGTGAAAGGCTTCATGTTGATTGAACTAAGTATGATGTTTGCATGTAATCATATTGGTTGCTCACTGAAGTCGAAGACTGAACGTAAAACTCCAGAAATGGTTGTTTATGTCTGAATTGAGCCCGAAGCATAGTGAAACCCAAATTTCTTCGTCTCGCACAATAAATTATGGTTTGGGCTACCTTCAGCCTTACAAAGAACCGTACTTATTGGTTGAAAATTTCATCGCTGGTATTCACAATGACAAACTCCAGTCAATATAAGTAATACTGGCCAAAGGTAGCTATAGTTAGTTGATAACAAACCTCAGTTAAGGCTCTCTATAGTGAAGACCTAGTCCGTACGCTGATGATGGAAACAGCAACATCACTGTTTCCGAAACTAGGCTTTCTTCTTCTATACTTTCTCCTTTACGGAGAGCTAATCTCACTCCTCTCTTTATAGAGGAACCACTTTCTTAATCTCTTCTCCATATTTCACGAATATGAGGATCTAATCTCATTCCTCTCTTTACAGAGAGACGTTTCTTGGGCTAATGGTAAAGACGATATCACTGAGTTTGTATCCTTTTTCATTTCAAATCTTTTCCTATTCGTGAGATGTTCAATCACGATGCCAACGGATTGGCGAGTTCCCTGCTGGGGTTAGTGAGATTGAGAGAATTAGCAATTGATTCTTTTGATTACATTGACTCCAATGTCCTCTTTGCGGTTTTTCAAATAAATAAATAATAAATAATGAGTTTACTCACAGTATTGAAACGGAGTAGGAAGATTTAAAATGAGTTTTCGTGGTAGAGTAGATGGATCGACACTTATACAGACGTGATTCATATATATTCTTTGTCTAACGGTATCGCATACGCGCCGCATCTCACAATGCGCATGCGACACTCGCCAATTGCAATTAGTATATTTTGATGAATTCAATAGCAATGGATTATATATTGTTTCGCAAAACAATTACAATTTGATCGAGGGTGTACAATATGAACATTTTCAGAGTTGCAATGAGCGGCACTAATTGGGCACTAAATATTGGCATTATAAGTTTTCGATTTATATTTCCCCAGGCGAAATTTTTTTTCCACTCGCTACTCTCAAAATCCAGAAAACAAATTTCAAATGCAAAGATATTCTAAATTTGGGGAGGAATTAGTGCCTAATTAGTGCCGCTTGAATCAATCGAGTTTAATATGTTTGGTCTTGAAAATCGCACCGAACCCCCATTTTGATTTTTAAAGGGTTGAAATGGATTATATAAAACAATTTCATGGCTATAATTTAATCGAAAGTGTACATATGAACATTCTGAGAGTTGCAATGAGCGGCACTAATTAGGCACTAAATATTAGATTCATTTTTAGGGTGTTTTGACCTTATTTTGACAAAGTTGACATTTTTGACCCCAAATAAAACAAATGCTTATAACTTTAAAAAAATTCAAGTAAATGTAGGTAATATAGGTATTATTCGTGGGCACCAATTGGGCACTAATTATTGGTACTATTGGGGATGAATTTTTCCACCCCTAAAAAATCATCCCCTAAACTCACCTCCTCAGGGGGTGAAAAAATCCCCGAGATATGGTTTTTCTGCGGGCACTAATTAGGCACTAAATATTGGTATTATTAGTTTTCGATTTTGAACTTCCCCAGCCGAAAATGTTTTTTCAACCCCTAACCCCTAAACTTGAAAAAATTATTTCTCCCACCCAGGTTGAGCACCAATTCTAAAATTAGCGGCACTAATTAGCACTAATTAAGCACTAATTATCCTGAAATTTTCATGCCATTCTGACTCAGATGTTGGGCTGGAGAGTTCTAGCCAGTAAAATCTCAAGTAGATGCTGACAGACTTCAAAACGACATCGATGGACTGCACGAGTGGAGTGTAGTCAACAAATTACTTTTAAACATTGAAAAATGTCACGTGGTGATCTTTTCAAACAAAACCGTTCCATCTCAACCGCTGTATACTATGAATACCACTCCGCTCAATCAGTGCAGTTCTGTCAAAGATCTGGGAGTCATCTTTGATGACAAACTCAAATTCGATGCACATATAAATATACTCAATCGTAAAAAAATCTAACAGCATGTTGGGATTCATAATGAGAGCAACAGCCGATTTCCAGGACCTGACATGCCTAAAGTATTTATACAATTCTGAGATCTAGATTGGAATACAACACTGCGGTGTGGAATCCCTATCAGATCAATCATAAAGAGAAAATTGAAGGAGTTCAAAGGAAATACACTAGAATTGTTTTCTTTAAACTCAGACAAAATCCTCAATCATATACCGATCGCATCAAATACTTAAATATGTTAGAACTGGAAATGAGAAGGGAATACTTTGATGCATGCTTACTACATAAATTAGTACACAACCGGAACTATTGCTCACATTCTAGGCCGTACTTCAGAATAAGCCGACGGTCGAATAGATCGAACATACTTTTCAATCCTCAACCTACAAATAATGATTATGGGCTTCACAGAAATCCTGTGACTAGAACGCAGTTACTATACGAAAGAAAATTCAAAGCAACTAATATTCTTGATGCAAACTATGAACTGTTTAAAAATAAAATAATGAGCAACTTCAGTCAAAGTTAAAATATTAAAATAATTGATGCAAATAGCAATATAATAAGGCAATGTTTTAACTGCATCAGTTGAGATAATTTACTTGCAATCGAATTTAAAATTATAATCAATTCTTATTTTTTTTACAACTTATTAATTTTAAATTAAATAATTATACTATTTTTTCTTTTTGCTTTTTACTATTAGTAATATATTGCCAAAAAGTAATTAGAAAATGTAAAATTGAAAGTCAACAAAAATGTGATCAGAACTCATAGGTGAAGAATGTTATTGGGATTTTTCCTGTTTTCAACACCATTATAAATCAATAAAAAAAAATAAAAATAAAATAAAATAAAAATGTCAAAGTTGTCAAGAATGCAACCGTTCTCCTCGTTCTTTGCGAAAAACACGTCCCAGATAACTTCGTGTTCCTCTTCACTCACTAGTAAACCTTCCATAGTGTCATACCCGGATTTTTGAATACCTGTGCGCGTTCGAAAAGGCATCCCTCAAAATACGAAAAAATTCCAAGCTGCCCATATTCATCTTTAGAGTAGTTTTAGTATTAGATCGATTTATGGGGTCTTTATCGTGTTTTTTACATACCATTGCATTTTTTCCATACTAGAGTTGATTTGGGGATGATGATATGTTTGAATATGAAATATTCAGGATAATCTATGTATCCGTCCGTCCGTCCGTCCGTCCTAAATCCCAAACAGACAAACGAAATAAAATTGTTCGTCCTTGAATTTGAAACGGACAGGATAAAATTAAAATCTCAAACGGACGGACAGAATGAAATTTTCCGTCCAAAAAAAAAATCACAATAGGACGGACGGACAAAATGCGTTCTATTGACACCTTCATATTGGATAACATTTCAAGAATGACGCCGATTGAGCTGAAGCATGAATATAGGCATTCAATAAAAATTTCATTTCCTAAAGAAATAGTAATCATTTTGTTTATTTTTAAAGAACTCTTTATTCATTCACTGATAACATTTCAATTTGTCTTGAATTGAATACTATAAACAACTTCTATTCATAAATCATTTAATTTTGTGTGTTTTTTTTTAAATAAGCGACTATTATTGCGTTTAAGAAACAGTGTATATAAGTGAATAATCACACAGAAAATTAAAAGAAACATTTCTGCCTCGAGAACGTTTTAAAAGACGCGCTCTAAAAATTCTGTGTGATCGATGTTTTAATTTTTAGAGAAGAACAGCATTCTTTCATGCAAAGAGTTAACCATTAACAAACGCCAAATTTTGTTCTTATTTATATATTATTTTAAAAATAAAATTTATTGATTTTCGTTTGCGTAGTATCAAGCTGTCTTCACTTTGTTCATTACAGCTATTCGCAGCGTCTGTCCTCTGCATTATATTTTCATTCTCTTTTCGCAGCTCCATTTGGTTGAAGTAATTATGTTATTCATACTATTATTATAGCGATAACACCATGGCGCTGCATCTGTAGTATACTATAGCCAATTACAAACACAACATCTACGCTAATTGTTAGATTCATTCGATTAGAGTTATAAGCAATGTATCTAAATGGTTAACTTTAGAAAAAAAATTATTCGTTGTCGAGTTTAAATTTTGGTTAGTATAATTTTCCAAACGCGTAATATGGTCGATTTTTGGTGGTTAACTTTAAAAGTTACAGCTGCGCATTTTGCTCATTAGTATAAATGCATTTAAAATATCGATTGATCGAAAAATTGATGGAGTTTGTAGGTTAGAATAAACATCTAATTTCAGAGCCATGCTCATAGCTGTTGCAATAAGACCATTGAATTAAAATTTCATTGTACACGCTTTTCATTCGTTAGTTGGCATTGTTTTTGTTATTTAGTACTTGAATCGCCGCTGATGACGAACTTGCTTCTCTCTCTCTCCCTCGCTTTGCTTCAAAATAAAGACAGGAGAGACTGAATTTACATGAGCTTTGCTTTGGCGCATTCTGGGCAGATGATATCAGCAGCGTCGGTTATGAACCCACGTCCCACAAGCGACGTTTTGCAGCTTGCACAAATAAAGCAATCATTGTGCCAGTGTCGATCCTCGAACGAAATGAATCGCGTTCCACCAATTCCTGTGAAATGTAATGATTTATATAGATTTATTATACAACATTTTATATTTTTTCACTTACCTGTAATTGGCTTTGTACATGACGTACATCTCTTAGCAAAGAGCTCTCCAAAGCATTCAGCACAGTATGGATGATCGTCACGACTTGTAAAACGCTGACCTGCCAAAGAAGTCGAGCAATGAGTGCATGTAAAGCACTCCCGATGCCATGGGTCGTTTTTATATGTTACACCACCAGAAGTGATGATCTAAAAAGGAAATAATAATCATATTAGAGAATATCTTCATGGATATCAGTGTTTGGAAAAAGATGATTATCTAGATAAGATAAAAGATAAGATAAGATAATATCTTTTATTTTATCTAGATAAATTTCGGAAAATCGACAAAATATCTTATCTTTATCTTATTTTTTACACGTTATCTTATCTTTTTTCAAGATAAATTGAGATAATTCCAAAGTTGATCAATTTAAAATTTCAAAAGGAGAGAAAAAATTGCTTTGGTCCAAAAATGAATATTTTCTGCAAGAACAAACGTTCTTGTGGAAAAATCAGAAAACGAATTTTCTTCCGTGCATTTCGAGAATAAACAACTTATAAAATATCGAAAGAAATATTTTTTTAGTTTTTTTAACGCATTTTTCTAGTTTCTTCTTTAGAAAAAAAGAACCAAAAATTATCTTATTTTTTATCTGAAGATAATTGAAGATAATCTTATCTTTTTTATAAAAGATAAGATAAAGATCTTATCTTTATTTAGATAAAAACACAAAAATTGGGTCTTATCTGGTTTTTATCTAGACAAAATTCGTTTATCTAAATAAAACACTGATGGATATGCAACTGAAGGGAACTACAATATTCTAACGTTTAAATTGAAAACTGACAGAACACTTTGCAAAATTCGTATCATTTCAAGTCGCATCGTGTAAAAAAGAATCATAATATGATGTCAAATTTTCTTGAATTTCACGTTGCACATAGCCTCAGACTGTTTTTGATCCACTTTAGTCTATTGTCATTTTAACTATTACAGAGCAGTTCAATACAATTCAATTCCAAAATTAATGAAATCTCTGGAGGAGTCTTTTTTCTCGTTATCAGCTGTAATGCAATGGTGCATAAAACGAATTACTTACGTAATCCAAACTTTTCCACACCGCAGAAATTCTTCTTACATTCCGCTTCAGAAAAGCATTTCTTAATGAATTCATTGGACTCATCAAGAAAATTATTAAGTCAGTTTATGTTGAATTAGAAAAGATTTCATACAAAGAGTGCGCTTATTTGTCGAAACATCACAATTTTTACCGAAAATAGCCGATATGTGACATCAGTAATGAATATTTATTGCTTTTTATTCGAAAATCCCTGGTCATTTTGCTTAAAAAAATAGCAGTTTACCTTGCCTTAAAAATCGCTAATTCGAACATTTTCCATACATGTAAAAGTTTTCCATATAGGAAAATCTAAAGAAAAGTCGACTTCGGACCAAACTTATGGGAAAGTAGGTGTTTGGTTGTTCAAGAGCTGTCATCATTTTAGCACAAAAATGGCAGTTTGCCTTGACCGAAATCCTGAAAATGGTGTCATTTTTGAACAAAATTCAAAAAATTTCAAGAAATTTCGAGTTCAGGCCAAATTTATGGAGAAGGCGGTGTTCGGTTGTTCAAAGGCTCCAATTAATTTTTGCAAAAAAAAACGTTCACCAAAACTCTGAAAAATGTTTGAGTGATTTTTCATACAAAAGTGTAGTTCTTGAACAAAATTTCGAAAAATTTCGATTTTAGACCAAATCTATGAACAAGTAGGTGTTCGATTGTTTACAGACTCCCATTATTTTCGCAAGAAATGGCAGTTTGCCTTGACTCTGTAAAATGGGTGTTTCGAGTACTTCCCATACAAATGTACCATTCAACATGCCAAAACTTCTATTCTTTTATTACTTGCAATTATCTCGTCAACTTGATGAGATATCGTGTTAACAAAAAACGTGCACGTGGACGCGAACGACACCATACGCACATCGCAATTTTACACAAAGATAGAAAATGAAAAAAACTTTTGAGAAAAGTGCAAAAATATGAATTCTTGGTGCCCAAAAAACCGTGATGCTCTGAAAAGTTTTTTAAGGTACAGCAAAAAGTGCTGTTTTAAAAAAAAATCCTGCTCGCCCCCGCTCGCATTTAAAAATATATCACAGTAAACACAATGATTCTAGCAATGTTGAGATTTGACACTTGACTTTTTTTTAGTACCATTTGCTCTAGAAAAAGTTCAAAAGTTCTATAATAAATACATGAAGCTTTGATTTGTGATTTAGTACATTTTGAACTTTTTCTAGTACAAATGGTACTTAAATGGATTTTAGTGCCAAATTTCATATTGCGGTTCTAAAAGTTAGAACCATCGTGTTTACTGTGATATATTATAGACTACAAAATTTTGCTAACAGCAATATTTGAATGAAACGTTTGAAACAAAGTTGAAATTGCAACTGGTTTTCAGGAAAAGTTTCAGAGAGCATTAAAGAAAATTTGTCTCAGGGCAACTCGGCCTATGGTGGGATTTGAACCCCATTAACATTGTCCAGTGTACAGATATGTGCTATTAGAATTTTCAGCGACTTTATAGTGGTCCGTATAAGAAGATGTCATGAAATTTTGGGGAGTAAAACCAATACTTTTCCTTAACAAACTAAGTTTGCGGAAAAGTAATAGAATAAGCGTATTATCCGGTTATGTGATTTGCAAGCTTCCTTGATGAAAGTAAAATTGAATTCAAAGAAGATACAGTGGAACCTCGATTATCCGTCACTTCTGTTAACCGTCACGCCTTGCCGAAGTGAAATTTTTTTCAGTTCATTTCACTTGAACATACGGATAATGTCGCCGACTGACATTCATAATCGAAATCAATTGTGTTTCGCTTGTACATTCGCAATAAAGTTTGAAATCATAGGCGTTGCTACCGAAAACATTTCTCGTATTGGACAATGCAGCAAATCTTTTTTCGTATCTAACATATGACACCCATAGAACAAGAGAACAACTTAGAGCTCTTGTTCTATAACTGAGACGGGAAAATGTAGAGTAAAATAGAGACAAATAAAGTTGCGAGCAAAAGTGACAAAACTCAGCATTGAGTGGAAAATACGTTTTTTTTGCATTTTTCTAGCTACTAGAAATAGATAACGATTAGGTGTCTGCAGCATTTTTGTAGAACATCAAAAGAACTACAAACCAGGTCGCTATATATTTCCAGCAGCAAGAAAAATGCAAAAGAACGTCTTTTTCGCTCAATGCTGAGTTTTGTCACTTTTGCTCGAAACTTCATTTGTCTCTTTTTTACACTAAGTTTCTTTGCGTCTCAGTTATGGATAAGGAACTCATAAGTTGTTCTCTTGTTCTATGGGTGTCATATATTTTCTACATCACTCAATTTTTCATCACAAACTAATAATAATATGGAAATTTTGATTGGTTTGGCTTATTTTATGAAAACCTCGATTATCCGTCAAGGTGCTGGTCCGGTGGCTGACAGATAATCGAGGTTCCACTGTATCTCAATTGAATGGAATTTGAAAATCAGTGGAAAATCTCTGTCAGCGTCACTCACACACATTCGTAACAAATTAAATCCATCTTTTGAGTTTCAGTTAATTTCTCTTTTCTCTCACACTCTTGCACGTATTTCACATTTCATTCATTTTTTGCAAACACATCATTTAAGTCTGGTAGAAACACTTGACAATTCGCTCCAAGAACGAAACGAAAACAAATCAATGCTTCAACGAATGGTGGTAAATTTGGATATATGAGTTTGTATCGGGTATCGCTTATCCTTTTTTTTATCGGGAAATAAAAACTTATAACAGTAGAGGATAGATAGGTGAAATTGCCATACTTTGTTGCATTTGATGCATCTAGTTGCATACTTCTCCTCATAGCAGCCGGCGCAATAGATTTCCTGTTCCTTCGGTATAAATGACTTCGTGCCAATAGGATTTTTGCACACGCAACAAGAGAAGCATTTTTCGTGCCATTGTCGTGTCTTGTATTCCATTTTTTTCGTGCCTGCGAAAACAAAGCAAAGGAAAATCAAATAAAACATAATAGAAAAGTTCTGAATCAACAACATCAAACAAGATAAACAATGAATGAACTTAATATATTGAAAGAGCATCCAAATGTATTTCTAAGGGTCGAAATAATTTAGTTGATGAAATTTCCGTCTTCATTTATCGATGCAAATTCACTTTGCTTTCTACTTTGATTCAGTTTCCCACTTCCGTTTATTTCATTGACTGTCGAAACGGAACGGTGAAAATGTTTGGCTCAGAACAAATGGACTTGTGTAGCAATCGCCTAGGGGCATTTCTCACTTAAAAAATGGAACCATTCCAATAAATATTGAACAATTTCTTCCATTTCTATCAATTCGGGTAAATGGATACACATTTACACTGAATGTGTGAAATACGTTCGCAGTATGAAGCTTAAGTACGTAATACTTAGCATACTTAACCTTAAGTACGTACTTAAGCTTGATACGTAAGTACGTTAAGTATGTTAAGTACGTACTTAAGGGTGACAATCTTTATACTTAAGCTTAGGTACGTACTTAAGATTTGTACTTGCTAACAGAACCGAATTTATGAAATTGCAGTGAATTCACCAAAATGTTTTAGAATTGACTGGAAAGTAGTAATTTGGTTCACATTAAATTTGACAATTCCAGACAATTTCATACATTTTTATATCATTCAATGGGAAAGAAGAAATATCTTAAATTCTTGCACATTCGTTTCAATTTTTTGCGTGAGAAATGCCCCTAGGCAATCGCATTTGATTATTTGACAAGATGATTGAAAGCAAATTAGAGTTCTTATTTAAAACAAACTTCAGAAGAAATTCAATCAAATTATTTGTTGTTCAGACAGTTTGACCATTTCTAGGGTGAAATGTACAAAGCTACAGAGCCCAGGGTTTAAACTGCATGTTGATTTTGAAAAATACTCTTAAGAGATACTACGTTTTAGCATCCCTCTATTTATTTCTTCAAGATTACTCAGTTTTTGTTATTGTATGCATTCAAACAATAACAAAACAAAATTGCGGGAATGTGTTGTTGAGAGTAAAAATGGGAATACAGCAGTGTTTGGACTGAAGTGCAACATGAAATTTGTTCCTTACGTTACATGAATCGTCGCTTCACTATTGAAGCGTAACATGAAAAATGTCAATTTTGAATATGATTTTGTGTGTTTTTCGCGAAAATGATAAGATATAACGAAATGTTATCTTCAACAAAGTTGTAGAATTGGTCAAGTCCAAATACTTTTCTAAACACACTAATTTCATTATCTCTTATCATTTTTGCAAAAAAGACGAAAAATCACATTCAAAATTCCCACTTTTTGTGGTGCGTTTCTATCGCAACATATGCATAAACATAGTAAAACACGAATTTGCGATCGTATTCAGTGAAGTTCATTTCAATTTTTGCACGCCGTTAGACGCACTCATGAACGCGACCAAATGAACTCATCAACAATGTTCCGTAATGTAAAAAAATTTTTTATTAAAAAAATTGATGTTTATCACCTGCTACGATCTCACAAAAAACAATTTCGCACATTCGTAACACTTTAATTTTTTTTGTCTTCTTCAGTATTGATTATAAAAAAGATGCAATAGTTTGCAGTAAACATTGAACGATCTGTGTCAAAACTTTTGACACTTGTCTCGTAGCGCTTGAAGTAAGCTGTCAGACGCTTAGATGCAATACCTGTGGTTTCTATTGAAGCAACGATTCATGTAACGTTTTCAAGAAAGAAATTCCATGTTGCGCTTCACTTCAAACACTTCTGTATTCCCATTGTTATTCTCACCGACACAAATATTCCTATTAAAAATGTGTTTTTTGCATCCATTTTTATTTATTTATTAAAGTAAAGTGTTGATTTAAGTGCAGTCCAGTTTAGACACTGTAGAAATTGCAATTAAGGGACTCAAAAAACGGCCGTAATTTGGAACGCATCGAATGTAATGAAATGCAAAAAATATCTGAATTGTAAATAACGGTTTTACTGCATTAATTACCGTCAAAAAAGGCTGTAATCAAATGTTTCCATTGCCATAATTACTTGATTTAATGGGAATGAGCGCTTTGACTGATATTATCCTGAATAGAGCATTAAATACGAACAACTTCATTTGGAAATCATAAATAGCTTAGCGTACAAGCATATTTTGTAACCTATTTCTCCAGGAAGATTTTTATCAAACCTCGCATAAAAAGCATAACGATGATATTTGTGTAAAAGGGTGAAAACCAACGAGTTTTCTTTTCCCAACACATACATACAAATCTAACCAACAATGCTATGAGGTTCGGTTCTGGTAATGTATATGTAAATGTAGATGTATGTATTGTGTATGTGTATTTGCGCATCAAATACAACGAGGAATGATTATGAAAAAGTATCGTCGAGCGAGAAAAAAAAGCAAGAAAAACATACGAAGAATTGCGACAATGTGAGTTCTAAGACAAATACTTTCCCTCAAAATCATTGATATCGGGAGTATTGCTCATTTTATCCTTTTTATTTGGTATTGCGTGTTTTCATGGTAAGCCTTCACGGCTATGCCGAAAGTATTTTCGTTTGAGAACAATCGTATTTTTGTTTGTTATGTGGTTTCTTTTTTTCGAGATTTACTGCTATGATATTTTCCATGTTCTCGCCACCATTTATTCTGTTCTTAAGCTGTTTGAGTGAAGGGATGAATTAAACATAGATTGGTTTTTGTCTTTTCTTTGCTTTTTGTGCTTGTTTGCTGAATTCAATGGCAATGGCAGTGGCATTTTTTATTTTTACAGTCCTCTGTTGACTCCGTTTTACCAAGTAATTCAAATACTACAAAGAAAAATGCGTGAGCGTACTTATGCAATTTTTCATTTCTGAATTCATCGTAGCAATGCTATGTCACCTCTTTGTTTAGCATGAAAAGTGCCGTAAACCCAATTAACATTATTACATGTGCTTTTTACTGTGTGTATTTTGTTTTTGTTTTTGTTTTCGTTTTCTTTTTTGGTCGCTCCACAAAAAAGTTGCAACTAAAATGTAAATAACTAGTACATGAAAATTTCGCCCAGTTTTTAATTCAAGGTTGACAAGCGTCATAATGCGTTGGCTGTACTTTATCAAGCATATATAGCTTCCATAACGAACTTGATACAATTTCGAGTGTCTCTGGCTACTTCGATCGATGATTGATTCGGCATATTTAAATTTGATTAGCGAAATTCAACAATTTTTTTTGTATGATTCTGGTCTAAGAAAAAGTTAAACGGTTGCTGTTGTTGTGAATAACACAAACTTTATTTCGTAATTGGTAGAATTCAATTGAGCCAAAGTGTTGAACGTTTTTATTCATTCGATCCATTTCCAAAAGCATGCTCGTAAGCGCTCAACTTGATTGAGTTTTGTTCATTTATTTTGAATGAAACGTTGTGTTTTTGTTTTGTCATTGATTTGTTTACATTTCATATTTATTTGCCGCAAAATTGATATTTGATATTCATTTATTGTAAATGAATGAAAATTTCCCATATTTTGCGGCATGTTCAGTGTAATCGTCAGAAGCCTTGTAATACGTTGATGAATCATTTTAGATGCAAAACAATCGAATCATGGATTTGGAGCGCGTGGGCTTGTCTACAAAAAAAGATGAACAAATGTAATTTACTCGTAGATATTCGGACAAATTGGCGTCCAAAATTGCAATACAACTCTTCAATTCGCCTTCATATTTATTCATTTCATCATCATCTTATTGTCATTGTTTGGCTTAAACTTCATTCAACGTTAATTTATTGTGTTCGATTTTTGCCCAAGAATATACGATAAACAATGAACAGTTTTCACATATGGACACGCTGTGATTTTATTCTTCAAATACGTAAACCGATTTGGAAGTTGTCGCGATTTTATCCATTTTCCAATGCCATAAATCTTAAAAGGTGCAAAAAAACGTCAATTTTTTGTGCGTCAAATACGAAACACGCATTAAAGCCATTATTTAGATTATTGTACAAAATAAGTAGAAAAAGCCAAACATTCAATAGCAAATTAACAAAAACAAAAAATCACGACAAAATTGCTTTTGAAGAGTTTGATACGTTGTTAATCGGCGTATGACAATGTTTTCACACAGTTCTGTCAACTATGAGCTAATTCTCGTTACGGTTAACCGCGATCAATTAGACTGCTTTTAGTATATTTAGTTTTGCTTTGTTTTCGTTTACAAAATAACATTATTAATTTAACGAATTTTTTATTATTCCAACACAACTTGAGCTAAATGATATAACAAAATTCATGTATTGAGTAATTAAGTAATGAAGTAAATAAAGTCGTGTTGGCTCTTAATTCGTTTTATGTACTTAATTGACCTAAAGTCAGTTGATCGGTTTTTCTACTTTTAAATGCAACCTAATAAGGACTGCGTTTTGCGGTGTGTGAGTTTTCGATCGTTCAAAAATTGCTTTTTATGCATTTCGGTCAGTCAATATATAAAGTAATGAAAGCAAATACCGAATACTTCAACAAATTATTCGCAATAAGGCAACCATGATTATCGAATATGCTTCTTTTCTTCACTGCTACGCCTCTGATAAAGTTGCCATTGTTGTTGGGCTATTGATTTAATTGTTGCCAGCTAAATTGTCATTGACTATGCGTGCGATGAAGTCATCTCATGTAATTGGCTGATCTGCCGACAGCGCATAAATAAATGTTGTGCATGTTTGGCTTATTTTTCATTTGATGTGAAATTAATGACGAAGATTTGGATGCTTCATTCAGGCATTCTCTTTCGTTACTGTTTTTATGTGGCTTTCTTGACATATTTATTGGTTTTGGTGGTTTAGTTGCTATTAATACCGGAACCTTTGTTCGACTCTTTTTTCAAAAAGTGACATCATTTTTACTTGGACCTAGTATATAGAAAGCATGCCAGAAAAAAAATCATTTCGAAGAGGTTTGTCCGCATTTTTTTTTAATCTTACGTTG